GACCAAACCCAGGTTGCCCATTTCAAAGGACCATCCTTCCCAACTCTACAAACAACACCTTGTGGTGTTTTTTTTTTTTTTTTTTTAAAAATCTTCTGGGCCTTCTTGAGGGGTGCGCTGCCTTTCGTTTCTTCGTTCGGCGTCTTTCTCATCCGTCATTTCAGCCGCGAAACGTAGGTGGGCTCGGAACACAATGTGCCTTTTATTGATCTGGAGGGGTTTGATCTTTTCCCGGCTTCGCAAGATCCACGGAGAAAAGCTTTCATGGAGATCAAAACTGCAGCAATGCTGTATATTGATTAGCTTGGGGAATTGGGGCTGGGTGGGCGAGCCTGCATTGTTGAATCAGATCTCGTTTGTCTACAGCGACGGGCAGTCAGGTCTGGAAAGGGGAACTTGGCTGCTTCTGATCCCGCTCGCAGGCCGAAAACCAAAAGTGACACTGTCTTCCAAGTCTTCTTTGTTTAATCTTTTATAATGAAGACCTCTGGATTTCTTTATTGTTCCGCACCTATAGATAAAACCTGGCCAGGCGGAGCAGTCTCTGCAATATAACCTGGGAACTGTTAGGGAGACTCTGCCTTCGCCTTCTTTCTCTCCCACATAATATCTCTCCATCCCATTAAAGCAGTGGTTCTCAACCTGTGGGTCGCGACCCCATTGGGGGTTGAACGACAATTTCACGGGGGTCGCCAAACAACGCAGTCCGCCATTTTTTCCCCCTTTTCCTTAGCCGTGCTACTCCCTTTTATTCTATTGGCTTTTGAAAGCCAATAGAATAGACTCTCTTGAATAGAGTCTAATTCTATTGGCTTTCAAAAGCTATTAGGAATTGTCCAGGCTGTCTCTGCCCTGCTGAGCCCGCCAAAAGTCCCATTCTGCAAACGGTGCTGCAAGTTGTCTGCAGCGAAGGCGAGCTGTCTGGAAGCTTCCACCCCTCCCTGTTGAGCAACTACTAAAAATGTAAGTAAAAGAGGGCCAGGGGTGGGAGGTGGGAGGCCGGCGGGCGCAGGGAGGGTTGCTGGCGTATGTGGGGCCTTACCTCCCCTGGGCTGGGCCAGCTGGTGGCCCAGCTGGTGGTCGGTCTGCGCCGTCTCTGCCGCTTGCCAGCTACGCCTCGGCCGGCACAGGGGGCGGCACCACACATGCACGGCGCTCCTGGGCAGAGAAAGTCCTCGACTTATGACCAGTTGGGTAGTCCTCGACTTATGACTGGTTGGGTAGTCCTCGACTTACGGCCGGTTGGGGTCGCGACATTAAAAAGGTTGAGAACCACTGCATTAAAAGATTGGTGGTAAGGTGAGGACTCCCTGCACAAGCTGCTTCTAGAACATTCCCTGGGAATTCTTAAGGAGAGACTGTCTTCGCCCTCTTTCTCTCACACATGTAACACATCCGGGCTGAATTATAGCTAGCCCTTGATTTACAGCAGTTTGTTAAGTTGCTGTCTGAAGTTGCAACAGACCTGAAAAAGAGTGACTTCTTAGCCTTTTTTTTCACCCTTCGAATTCAGGTCTTGAGTAACTTGAAGGTAAGTTCTGTCGTAACTTTGAACTGTAGCTAAGCAACTGGGCATAAACTGAGGACTACTTGTCACTATGAGGGCAATTCGGAAATAAACCTCCCTTTGGCTATGAATGACAGAAACTCACAGATGCAGAACTTTTATGATACACATTAGAAAGCTACAACATTACATGATTTTTTGACATAGTCGCCATTCAAACTGAGGCATTTGCCGTAATGTTTTACAAGATTTGACATTCCTTAGTCATCATCGCTCGGTGCCAGATCTGGTCTATGGGGTGTGTGTGTGTGTGTGTGTGTGTGTGTGTGTGTGTGTGTGTGTGTGATGAAAAACGTCCCAACGGAACTGCTTTAAAAGTTCTTGGATGCGTCCAGCAGTGTGCGGGTGAGCATTGTCGTGAACCAACACCACACCGGAAGTCAACTTGCCCTGATGTTTGTTATGGATGGCTTGTCTGAGTATTCATAACGTTGTAATAATAATAATAATAATAAAGTTGGGAGGGACCTTGGAGGTCATCTAGTCCAACCCCCTGCTTAGGCAGGAAACCCTACGCCGTTTCAGACAAATGGCTGTCCAGTCTCTTGTAAAAAACTTCCAGTGTTGGAGCATTCACCGCTTCTGGAGGCAGGTTATTCCACTGGTTAATTGTTCTAACTGTCAGGAAGTTTCTCCTTAGTTCCAGGTTGCTTCTCTCCTTGATTAGTTTCCACCCGTTGCTTCTTGTCCTGCCTTCAGGCGCCTTGGAAAATAGCTTGGCTCCCTCTTCTTTGGGGCAGCCCCTGAGATATTGGAACACTGCTATCATGTCCCCCCTCGTCCTTCTCTTCATTAAATTAGACATGCCCAATTCCAGCAACCGTTCCTTATATGTTTTATCCTCCAGTCCCCTTTGTTGCTCTTCTCTGCACTCTTTCTAGAATCTCAGCATCTTTTTTATATCGTGGTGATCAAAACTGGATGCAGGATTCCAAGTGTGGTCTTACCAAAGCCTTGTAAAGTAGCATTAATACTTCACGTGATCTTGATTCTATCCCTCTGTTAATGCAACCTAACACTGTGTTGGGTTTTTGGGCAGCTTTTTTTTTTTGGCACAATAGACGTCTGAACTGATGGTTGAAGCACACTCCATGAACTTCACTAGCCGTACTTCTTTGGCACCTTCACATTTGGCGGGGTTTTCTATGGCACCACTTCTGGTGTGGTGTTGTTTCACGATAATGTTCTGCTTGCCCACACACCGCTAGACGCAGCCAAGGACTTTGGAAGCCCTTCTGTTCGTGAAAACGTCTGCAAGAAAACCACCAAGCTCAGCGGGCACCAAGCGCAACCTCATCTCCCAAATGTGCCCACCTGGACTTCAAGATTATCCAATGAAGTCAGGTCTCCTCAGCTAGGAAGATGAGGAGGGGGTCTACAAGGGGAGAATATTTTCTGTGAAAACTCTCTTTTTTTCCCCCCGTAGCTCCCTTTTATCATGTTTATTTTGCATTTCTTTGAATGTGTCTTTACTTTATTTTTACTGTCTTTTATGGAGAACCGGCCCCAAAAGCTTTGACGGTGAGGTGGCTTTGGAAAATTTAATAAATAAATACATTTCAAGGCTTTGATGCTTTGTGGAGCTGCTCTCTAGAAGATGTGTGTGTGTGTGGGGGGGGGGAAGTCTTGAATTTCTTCTTATCTCAGGCCCTAAAAGAGTCTGGTGGAGACAGATGCTTGTTTATATTTTCTAATTTCCTGCTGAGATAAATGTCCTTAAGTTAGCTTCGAACTTTTCACAGTTTCCTGTGATTTATGAGGCGATGGTTGTCCATCAAGAGGAACAGCCCCCGCTAGCCAAATCTCCGTGGATTTGTTAGACCTTTCTCCACAAATTGATGGGCACTGCCACCACCAATGGCTACAAAATTCGGGTTTCACTATCTATGATATAAATTTCCTTTAAAAAAACAAAACAAAAACACAGCCCTTTCCATGGTGACGTCTATGGAGCCATCCACATCCTTCATTCATCTAGGAGAGCGTATTCTTCAATAATTTAATCAGCAGCCGATGCTCATCCATAATGCTTTCAGCCCTGGCTGCTTATAACTTACTTCGGCATAATTATCTTTTCTGCTCAGGATAAGCTGCTTCAGTCTTTTTTGTAAATGGCCCTAAGAATGAACCATTCTTCAACAAAAGATACTTCTTGAGTGCCTTATCTTGACAGGTAGATTGGTGGGACTCGTACCACAGTAGCTGTTATCTAATCACGACTTTCTCACACACACACACACAGCCCGCTCTTCTGCCTCCAGCAATTTATGCTCATTAAGAATATTATTTTTCAGAAAGACAATCAAACCACATTTTTAAGAAAGATTCAATTTCAAGAAAGGCACAGAAAAATGATTAGAGGACTGGAATCTGCATCTCGCAAGTGAAGAAGACCAGGGAATCGAGATATGTTTACCTTTGAAAAAAGATAATGAAGATGGAAATGGTATCATTTTTTTCCCCCAAATATCTAAAAGGTACAATGTAGGAGATCAAGATTTTTTTTTTTTTTTTGATAGCCCAGAATTCAGGACAGACAATAATGATCTTAAGGCAGAGGAAGGTGGATCTGAATTGCATTAGGACATGTTTGATACGGTGTCAGTCCTTCCAGGTAAATACAACCAATTGATCTAAGTCTACTTTATTGTAAGGCTGCCTTAACAGAACCTTGCAATCTGAAAGTGCAGATCTCCCACTGTCTTTTTTACAATCTGAAAATGGGAGGAGGATCCTTTCTCAGTGTCTTTCTCTGCCCGTGATGCAGCTCTGGGCTACCCCATCTCTTATCAGATTGTTCCCTAAGCAGCATCTCATTCCCTGGTCCCTCAAGGTCATTCTCACATACCATTACATCTGGGGACCAAAGAACAGAACAGAATAACAGAATTGGAAGGGACCTTGGAGGTCATCTAGTCCAACCCCCTGCTCAGGCAGGAGACCCTACACCCTTTCGGACAAATGGCTGTCCAGTCTCTTCTTAAAACCTTCCAGTGTTGGAGCATTCACCGCTTCTGGAGGCAGGTTGTTCCCCTGGTTAATTGTTCTGACTGTCAGAAAGTTTCTCCTTAGTTGCAGGTTGCTTCTCTCCTTGATTAGTTGGCGTTGTTGTTATTTTAAATGATCGAGTCATGTTTTGTTTTCCTTTTCCATTATTTCCATTTTGGCCCATTTGATTTGGGGATGAGGAGGGTTAATTGATTGCTTTTACTGCAAGCTACCCAGAGTCAGTTGAGCTGGTGTGTGTGTGTGTGTGTGTGTGTCTATAAACTGGATTCAACAAGCCAACAATTTGAAGTGACAATTGAGAATTTGCTACCAAAGGAGAATGGAACTACGGGAAAATTCAGCAATTGGGATTTATTTATTTATTTATTTATTTGTATCCCACCATTATTATTTGTACGAATAACTGCGAACATATCCAACATACCTTCCTTCTCCTGTTTTTATCCACAGCAACAATCCTATGAGGTGGGTTGGGCTGAAAGAGAAGGACTGGCCCAAAGTCACTGAGCTGTCTTTCCTACCTAAGGCGGGACTAGAACTCACTGGCTCCTGGTGATTGGCTCAAAGTCACCCAGCTGGCTCCTGGTGATTGGCTCAAAGTCACCCAGCTGGCTTTCCTACCTAAGGCGGGACTAGAACTCACTGGCTCCTGGTGATTGGCTCAGAGTCACCCAGCTGGCTCCTGATGATTGGCTCAACGTCACCCAGTTGGCTTTCCTACCTAAGGCGGGAGTAGAACTCACTGGCTGCTGGTGATTGGCTCAAAGTCACCCAGCTGGCTTTCCTACCTAAGGCGGGACTAGAACTCACTGGCTCCTGGTGATTGGCTAAAAGTCACCCCGCTGGCTCCTGGTGATTGGCTCAAAGTCAGCCAGCTGGCTTTCCTACCTAAGGCGGGACTAGAACTCACTGGCTCCTGGTGATTGGCTCAAAGTCACCGAGCTGGCTTTCCTACCTAAGGCGGGACTAGAACTCACTGTCTCCTGGTGATTGGCTCACTGAGCTGGCTTTCCTACCTAAGGCGGGACTAGAACTCACTGGCTCCTGGTGATTGGCTCAAAGTCACCCAGCTGGCTCCTGATGATTGGCTCAACGTCACCCAGCTGGCTTTCCTACCTAAGGCGGGACTAGAACTCACTGGCTCCTGGTGATTGGCTCACTGAGCTGGCTTTCCTACCTAAGGCGAGACCAGAACTCACTGGCTCCTGGTGATTGGCTCAAAGTCACTGAGCAGGCTTTCCTACCTAAGGCAGGACTAGAATTCGTGATCTCTGCTTCCCAGCTTTGTGCTTTAACCACTAGCCCACCTGGCTTTGTTGTATCTTTGCATTTAGTGTGCCTCCTCTCATCCTTCAAAGATCTGTAGTAAATAGCAATCTATTCCTGCAAACCCAGGAAACCTTTTTTTTTTTTATTCTTCGTACAGAACTTAAAATAAGATAAATCCCCTACCCCAAGGTCTCTTCCCTTCAAAAACTACCCATTGACCTCATTTTTATGGATGCTTTCCCCTTTTTAATGGAAGCTGCTGGTCATAGCGGGAAGGAGCTGACACTATTAAAATGAATGGGCCATTTGCAGATCCTACCGAGATATTAAAATAGATCCGTCTCTGGCTTTGAAAAATAAGAAGCAGCTGCCTTGCTTTGTAACTTTCAGTTGTGTCAGCCAGCGGTGGTCTCTTTCAAAAGATCCGTCGGCTAAAATGTTGGAGGGGGGGGGGGAGAAGCGAACGGTTCTTTTGTGACTCACGAATGACAACATGTGGCTCAACACAGCGCATGCTTCTCCCCTAATGTTCCTCCTCAGAGTGATCACAAGGCCGTTCGCCCAGAAATGCTCATTTATGCAATCAGATGCTTGTCTGGGGGAAACATTTAGACACCATCGCATAAGCAAGATCGTCAAGACGGGAAGAATTTCAAAACCCGAAGGGCTGAAATAAATGTAGAGAACTTTTCTTTTCGTGAACAAAATCGGAAGACGGTGGCAACCGGGGTTAGCTCCATCGCAAGGTTGGGTCGGCGAAGATGCTGGAGCAACAGAGAAAAGTAATAGGTTGGAATTGGCTATATGTGCTTAAAGGCAGAAAACGCTGAAGAATCTACTTCAAATAGCGTTCAGCAATTGCAGCGTGGGAAGAATCCAGACAAAGAAATGACTCATCAATGTGAGTCAGTTGTCAACCATCTCAATGCAAATCACGTGACCTTGGAGAGGCTGCAAATGTCGTAAGGGTGAAAAATGGTCCTAGGTCACTTTTTTTCATTGCCCTTGTAACTTTGAACGGTCACTAAGCGAACTGTTGTAAGTTGAGGATTATCTGTAATTACTTTCAATAAATACTGCATCCAGTTTTGGTCACCATGATACAAAAAAGATGCTGAGACCATAGAAAGAGTGCAGAGAAGAGCAACAAAGATAACAACAACAACAACCCTATGCAAAGAAGCTGAAGAAACAGTGGACCACCTGGTAAGCTGCTGCAAGAAGATCGCACAGACTGACTACAAGCTGACAAAGTAGCAACAATGGTGCACTGGAAGATCTGCAAGAAATATCATTTGCCTGTAAGCAAGAACTGGTGGGATCATAAAATAGAGAAAGTCATAGAAAATGATAAAATTAAACTGCTCTGGGACTTTAGAATTCAAACAGACAAGCACCTGCAACATAACACCCGGGCTTAACAATTGTCGATAAGAAAGACAAAAAAGTCTGGATAGTGGACGTGGCAGTGCCTGGAGACAGCAGAATAGACGAGAAAGAACTGGAGAAGATAACAAAACACAAAGACCTACAAATAATAATAGAAAGACTGTGGCAAAGGCAAGCAAGGGTGGTACCAATAGTAATAGGCACCTTGGGTGCCATCCCAAAACAGCTGGAGCACCACTTGAACACCCATCATCGGCACTGACAAATTCACCATTAGTCAATTTCAAAAGGCAGCCTTACTAGGAACTGCTTCCATCCTGCGACAAGATCTGTAATACCATCAAACATCCACATCTGCCTATCCCAGGTCCTTGGAAGGGACTTGATGGGTAGACAAAAATGTCAAATCTAGTCTGAACATCTGGCTGACTGTGTGATTAATAATAATAATAATAATAATAATAATAATAATAATAATAATAATAAAGTTGGAAGGGACCTTGGAGGTCATCTAGTCCAACCCCTTGCTCAGGCAGGAAACCCCATACCATTTCAGACAAATGGCTGATGATTAGCAGTCTGAGGCTGAACCACATGATGAACGGTTGCAGGACCTGGGTATATCTAGTCTAAACAAGAGGCAGACTAGGGGTGACATGGTAGCAGTGTTCCAATATTTGAGGGGCTGCCACAAAGAGGAGGGGGTGTGTGAACCTATTCTCCAAAGCACCCGAGGGCAGGACAAGAAGTAACGGGTGGAAGATCATTAAAGAGAGAACTAACCTAGATCTAAGAAGAAATCTTCTGTTAGAACAATTAACCAGTGGAACAGCTTGCCACCAGAAGTTATGGATGCTCCATCCCTGGAGGTTTTCAAAAAAAGCCTGGATAGTCATTTGTCTGAAATGGTATAGGGTTTCCTGCCTTGGGCCACAGATTGGATTAGATGAGGGGTCTCCAACCAATGGCCATTGGGCCCTGGGAATAGCTGGCGAGCCTCCCCCAGTCACAGTAGCATTGCCGTGTGGTGCTAGCAGCCCCATTTGTGCATGCGCAGGGACGCTATCACCACCGCCAGCGTCACGTGGGCACCAGCGGCCCATATATGCATGCTATGGTTGTGTGCGGCCCGCTTGCACATGCATGCACACGCTAGCCTCCCCATCATGTACGTGCCCATTGGCGCATGCGTCCGCGGGGCCGCGTGCGCGCCCGTTTCCCTGCTGCTCCCTTTCCTTCCAGGCCACCAAGCCAGAAAGGTGGAGGAGCTCTGGATTAGATGACCTTCAAGGTCCCTTCCAGACCAATGATTCTAACATCTAGAACCTGGAAGAGTACTAGGTTGCTGACACTCTGCTCCTAAACCAGAATTTAGAAGATCTAGAACAGTGATGGCAAACCTTTTAGAGACCGAGTGCCCAAACTGGAACCCAAAACCCACTTATTTATCCCCAGGTGCCAGGTGGGTGGGCGTGGCTGTAGTGGTCATGGCAGACTGGATGGGTGTGGCCAAGGTGGGCATGGTCACCTCAATGTTGCTCATGGGGAAGGATGCCTGTGGGGACTGGGCAGGATTGAGGGAGATCCAGGGGATCTGTGGCAGGTGGGACGGTGGGCAGGAGGCTCATCCTGCGGGGTGAGGTGAGGCAAGGAGAGGCAGGGTGGGGGTGCCATTGTCGCAGGGCAAGATGAGGCAGGAGCCAGGGCAGCTGCTTCCTGACACCATCGGCCCACACACACAGAGGCCAGTGAGCTCATGGGGGCCGACAGTGTCCGTCAACAACCACAGTCTGCCGGCCCCTCTATCGGCGCACTCTGGAGCTCCGTAGCCCACCTCCAGCAGTTCAGAGAAGCCGCCTCTGAGCTGGATGGCCGGCTGACAGCTGAGGAGGCGATGCAGTGGGTTGTGCCCAGGAAAAGGAGAGCATGCAAAGCCAGGAGGGATGAGACAGGGGGGAAGGGAAACCAGCCATGCTGGGATGCATCCGGCCACGTGGGACCTCGGCGAGTTAGCGGGCAGCTGCTTGAAGAGGGACAGTTGTCATCTCGGGGGTATGGCGTGCGTGCCCACAGAGAGGGGTCTGAGTGCCGCCTCTGGCACGCGTACCATAGGTTCGCTATCACTGATCTAGAATCTCATGTTAGAAATCAATAGCTTCAAAGTGTCTTAGAGGCAAGCCGAAGAAGCTGGAAGCGATTTTATAGCTGTCGGGTATCAGGCTTTGCCCCAGATGTTTCTCATCTTCCTCCGCACACTATATTTCCTAAGAATTCATTCAAAAGGGGAGGAAAAGCAGAGGCAATTTTCACAGGCAGCCTGTTTCCCGAGGAATGCTGAATGACGGAGAACGCAAGCTTGTGATTTAGATTTCACGCATGAATCATTGTCGACCAGCCGCTGGTTGTGTTAAATAATGGGAGCTGAGTAAAATCTGGAAGCAAAGCCACCCTTGTTTGTGCGAACGGCGTAATCCCAGCCAGTGTAAAATGTTTAATGCCAAATCCAAAGGACCGAGAAGCCTTTACGCAGATCACAGCAGCCGCTTAGGAAGAGCCTTCTGCAACAATTCAGAATATTTGGTGCAAGGGATTACGATCGTATTTAACGGTATTTGAGAGTACCTTCAAGGCACGTACTCTTTCATAACGGGGTTTCCTTCTTCTTTCGAGAATGCAAACATCGGTTGAGATCAAATGGAAAGAAATCGGAATTTAAATTTAAGCTCGTGTTAAAATCTTCTGCCGCGGTGGTGCCATGGTTAGAATGCAGTACTGCAGGCTACTTCTGCTGACTGTCGGCTGCCAGCAGTTC